CAAAAATGATGCATTTTCGTTTCGCTCGTGCTGGTATATGCGATAACATCTAGCAATGTACTTTTGACATTTCATAGCACTTCACTTGCTCTTTCTAAAACACTAGATTACTTTTGAAAAGTTTTCAAAATAGTCTTGTTTCGGCCGTTTTAATTACCCCACTTGAACTCAGGGTGAGCGACTAGGCTAATTTTTGCTTACTTCTACTCCACAAAAAGCCCACTGGTACATAGAATTTGAGGCCAAAACTTGTATGGTCTTAAAGCACATCCTTTATACTTGTTGCGTGAAAATTTTTTCTGTGGCCCGCAAAGTGTCCTGTAGAGAAACGGAAACGCGAAGACCATTTTGCCACCTAAATCAATTTACGGAGCGACATGTTTCCCTACATACCTACGCAAACACTTAAAAAAACTGCTTTGGAAAACCTTCTACATGTTTCTTACCACTTGAATATTGGATAATAGACACATATGTTACTGTTACCTTTTGATTTTTAACTCATTGTACCGAAAAGTGCTAAAAACGCTTTCATTGCAGACTCGTGTATGTCAACACTGAGTTAATAATATACAAACCAAACCAAAGCAAACAAAACAACAATTTCAACTTCGGTTTGTTCCGCAACACATAGTGCATTTTTGAAAGCCTATATTTCTTTTAATACTACAAGTTTATAAGTTTGTAATAAGCTGTTTGATCGACCATCTTTCAAAACAAAGAAATTGTGAGTGTTTTGATAGCTTTCAGCTTTGCTCTCTCATTATATTGCGTGACAAATTCGGTGCCCCCTTGAAAGCAAAAACTGCGTCGGAAAACCTTTTAAATGACTTAAAACCATTCATCGAAGAACAGATGAATATTTTAAAAATTTAGGCTGTTAGTTGATTACACGGGCAGCGTAATTTGTAAGCTAGCAAAAAGTAAGAGAGACAAGAGACAAGCGTTGCGGCACGGTTCCCACTGCAGAACATTTTCACAATTTTGATTTTCATTTGGATCGCCTTTCAATCGTTCTGAGTAATTGCGGGAAACAATCTACTCTAAAAACCTTACCAGTGTGTTTTCCAGTTCATCTACTTGTCTTTCATTTGTCTGGTATTGTTATATGAATGTAATTCTCGTCCAACAACCTTGAACTTTGCGCAAACGTACGTGATCAGCGACTTAACCAGAGGTTCTATCTAACGGGGTGAGGGGTGGGGATATGTTCAGTCAAAAGTGAAGCTCCAGACTGTGCGAGCACTGAAATTTTTTTATTAAAAATTCACTTTCGCATACCATAACCATCAAAATCATCGGTACGGAACATTTTACCCGGAGAAGAAAGGAACCGAGAAAAGAATAACCCGTGAGCAGGCCCTTCTTCTCCTAACTCCTTCAAGCGAGAAAAATAAGAGGAGTACTGGGAGAGGAAATATACCTCTTCAGCCAACCGATATTTGAAGGTTCCGGCTTCCTGGCCTCTTCCAATCATTTACGGCCATTATTCCATGTGAAGGAAACAGTCGACGCCTAGCAAGAGCCATAATGGCTCTTGACACCTAGCTTGCATTTTATTTTATTTAGTTATTTCCTTTTTTTGCATTTTTCAGGAAGCGCCTCACCATCACAAGTGTCTGGCACTCCTGCGCTCGCTTTTCCTGAAAAATGCAAAAAATAATAGAGCCTTTTATGCAGACTAATGTTCGGCTGTCGTCGGATACCTGACCAGGTGCTTCACAATGAGCAGAGCAGACTATGCTTTTTTTGGTGAATCACAGCCTGGGTGAACTATATATCCACGAGAAAAAAATGCACGGGCGAGTGATATTCCTCAACCGTCATACAGAAAAAACCCTCAGTTCTTAAAGAAATGGTATTTAGTGGGATTGTAGGCTATCTACTAGGTTCTTAAATAGGTTTTTAATTTGATAGAGGAACCATACCGATCAGCCTGCAAGAGAGGATAAAGCTTATCTTAGCACCGATAACCATTTCAGCGCATATGTGATATGGAATACACTTCTGTATTAAATAATTATCTATCTACAGTTTAGGTGATAACCATACAGCAATTAATGTATTTTTCCAAGTACTAGCACGCATGCCACGGTCTTGCGTGCTGTGTTACATCTGAATTTTACTGACTGAAACCTAGCTAGACTAAATTTTTTTTCTGTATCTTTCGCTGTGCCTTCATTTTTGTTAAATAGGAACCTAGGGGGCACTTCATTCACCATACAGAGGAAACATGAAAGCATTTACCCCCTTTTTAATTCAAATAATGAGCCTTTTGTCGCTAAAACCCTGCGCATGCTAGTGCAATTCTGTTGACAACAGTTTGCACTGGTAATGGGTTAGTAGCCTCCAATACAGTGAGTAGAACGCCAAATAACAGCAGGTTGAGAGTAGTGAATGCGATATCTAACATAAACAGCTTATGAACTCTGGGTTCGAATTAGGGGGCGGGGGTGGGATTTTCTTCTTCTTTCAGCCACATTCACCCTCAGTACATGACCAACATCTTTCATAAAAAAGTACCTCTCCCTATCCGGGTTCAGTAACTGATTAAAGTGACTAATATGGAATAAGTTAGGTAAATGAATAATGTGAATCAAGAGCGTCGCTTGGCAGATGCTCTGCTGGCTGTGTAAACCAACAGAAATAGATCCCCAGAAACCTCATCTGGAGAGTTGTGTTAAAAAAAATTCGTAACAACGTCAACGCCCTCGGGCCCCCTTAGCCGCCGAGCACAAATAAGTGTTCAAAATGCACGAACGTATAGTTCAGCCAGTATTGACACTGCTTTTGACGGGTATATCTGATCAACACTTTATATTTGCTTGATAAAGATTTCAGTATTAAAACAAATTATAATTACAACCGCTGACGGATTGTTGGTTCATGCATGTTGCCAGGCACTGGTGGGTGCGAACAGTGTTAAGTTACATAATTGCACATATCTCTATGAGGGGCCCATGGTTAGTTACCACAAATCCAAATAATTCTTTAAACATTTTCCTTTGATCACTTTCTGTTTCCAAACCTTGGAACGAGTTGCCAAACATTGCGTCTTCATCTGATAGCACCTCCCAGCTGATTTGGCCTGAATAATCTTCTCCGGTACTTTCTCTAATTTTTCTCACCAGTCTCACATGTCCTCTGTACAGCATGCTGAATAAGCATAGTTGTATTTGCCACGATATCATTTAATGCTTTTTGAGTCAAATTGTGAGTTTCCATTATCCGAAGTAGATACGCTGCCCTGGAACATCTCAACATGGCAACCTCATCGTCTTCATCATCTTCACTGTGTGTGTCATTATCATCCCCGTCGTCTAGATTTTCTCAGTTATCTATGAAACTAGCGCCATTGCTTGCATCATAGTGACAGTCATCTGAAAGGTTTTGTGCAATATTATGGTCTTCGTTGTTCACCAAGTCTCATAGTTCCATGATCTCCGATGCGTTTTTCCATAGGGGATTGTGGTTTCTCTGCAAGTGGCTTCTGTATCCAAAAAATTTTCGGTATGTCTGTCCACACCCCCCTACGCCACATAAAATGTTCAGATTAGCATCTTGTCCATGAACTCGCATCCAATGATTCAACTGTAGTGACAAATTAGCAAAAATACTCGAACACATGTGACACCTTAGTCCCATGATTGCACCACATTTTAAACTACTGAAGAATCAGAGCGACAAATAGAGGCAAATCGCCACCTTGCGAAAACACTCTTAGTAACCATCATGGGGGCGCATCAGTTGAGATGACTGATACAGGACCTAGTACAGCAGTACAGTATATTTTTTAGCACGAAGGATTTCGTAATATCATGTTTTATGGTAATTTTAAATAGACAGGAACATGACCGAAAGGAAAAAGGGGTATCACATCTCCCCCATGTAAGGGAATCGGGATTCCAGGATCCGTGAAATTTTTGCTTGTGGAATCCGGAATCTGGGGAAAGTTTGCTTATGGAATCCTGAATCCTGGGCTCTTGAATCTGGAATACAGCTCAAAGAATCTGGAATACAGAATCCAAGTTCCACTTATAAGGAGTGGAACCAAGTGCCTGGAATCCGGAGCCTAAGGCATGGAATCCAGGATTCAAGAGTGTCTCGTTTTCCCTGACATAGGGTGACACAATTTCACTCTGAGATTATACACGAAAATTACTTGATGACAGGAAAGCAAAAAGGAAAAAAGCTGAATGAAATGAGGTACTCAAATATCTAAATTGGTCTCAAAAGTAGGAGGTGTCAGATGTGGTTTTACTGTAATGCATCTTGCAATCTGGGGGGAAGGGAAGGTGGAAGAGAGACCATTATATGGTGCCTTACCCTTATCCAAACACTGGTTGAGTAGCCGCAGGGCTTTTGCTGTTACACTTTAAAGAGCTTTTCAAAGCTAAACACCTAAACTCGATAAGCTTTTTCGGTCATAAATTGGCGGATATTCTATAGTAATCTTCCCTTCCCTCCTAGGGAAAGGGGCTGGGACTGTCAGGCTTGGTCCATTTAACATGTAGCTAGCTATTAGGTCATTCAAGGTCGCTATGTTGAATAATGCTTTCATCTACGTTATTTGATTATAGTCGACAGCCAGGAAAGGTTGTCCAATTAAGGCAAGGGGAATTGTTATTGTAAGTCTCTCATTGGCTCCATTAGTAATTTAACCCGGCCCAACATTTCCTGTCCAGCGGAGGTACAAAGTCTGCGATTTCTTCATTATTCCTCCTACTCATTCACTGAGCCTATTCTGTACAGATCTATCACTGATTTCTCATATTAGGGACTTTAAGATAGTACACTACGGTCGGTTGGGACGGTTGGGAGCATACATGGGAGGCCTGGGGCCAGGATGGTGAAAAGGTGCGAAAAATTTCAACTTAAGTTCGGGCAACAAGACAGAGGACGGTAAAACCAAGATGTCTGTTGATGAGGTGCGAGATTCACTGGTAATTTCCTTTGCAGAAGGCTTAATAAGCGACAAAGAGTTCTTATTTTTATACAAAGAGTACAAGGCAGTGAATCCTTTTTATCCGTATTTGGAATTTGAGCCATTTTGTTTAGACTCTTTAGACTCTAGAGAATGTAAATCCAAGTTCAGACTAGAGAAAGAAGACATACCCTTTGTAGCCGATGCTTTGCAAGTTCCAGCAAGATTTAGGTGCCCTCAGGGCACAGTTTCTGGTGGTATAGAAGGATTTTGCATTCTCCTAAAAAGTTTGCCTTATTCTTGTCGGTATTTTGACCTCGTTGAAAGGTTTTGTCGCCCCAGTTCCTAAACTGAGTTTGATATCAAACACCGTACTTGACTGGATCTACAAATTTCATGGCTTTCGTTTGACTTTATGTATGGGGATCCAGCCTAACCCCTTCATCCCAATTTAATGAGACCCTACTGCAAGGGGGATGTCCCTGTTCTCACCCCTGAGATGGAAGCTTTCAACACGGCCATGAGTTCAGTAAGAGTTTCTGTAGCCTGCGTAGCAAGTGTTTCTGTGCAGTTTACGAGCAAAGGAAGAGGAACAAGAGTCAAAGACCGCTGGAAAAATGGCGCAAGTAAAAGAGCAGGGAGGGGCTGGTGAAGAAAGGAAGGAAACGCTTGCAGACAAACCCCTCGATTTTGAAAACTGTTCACTTGGCCTGTCATGCATGAGTTCACACACCGACATTTGATGCTGGCATCATCTGTCATAATTGACCAATAAAATGTTTGTCCTTCCGAGGAGCGGAAATGAACTTTAGAGGTGCGTGTGTGAAACCATAATAATTTTGTTTTTTGTATTTTGGAACGCGTGGACGGCGTTAACGGTGAAATCTCAATTAATCCAAACAATCAATGCAGGTCAAAGCTCAGCTGGACAAAACGGCTTACTGTTACAACTAGAGTGCTCTTGTAAAAGCACCTAAGAACAAAGCTAACGCGGCAACTGATGAAGTTCGTGTGGAAAACCAAGCAGCAATTTTGACTCAGTCACAGTGCAGTTCTCCATAGTCGATGTAGCTTCAGTTTTTTAATCTGTAAATCACTATCCAAGAGAATTTAACATCCCCCAAAAAAAACACCAACGAGCTGGGCCCAGCATGACAAAACATTACGGGAAACCATTGCATTTCCTAACAAAGAAAATCGCTTTTAGTTATTCAGATCCAGGAGCTACTTTGCAGAATAAATGACCTGAAACCGGTACCCTTATATAGTCGCAAGAAGAGCTTTGTGTTTCAAAAGAAGTTAAAGAAAATGCTCTTGCATTGAAGCGTAAATCTTGCCAACCAGAATAAACAACAATTACCGCAGGAAGATGCGTGTCACGTACCATACATGACCTCTCAGTATGAAACAAACCTTTGATCGACACATGTCAATATTGTTCGACTAGCCGAGCCAATCAGGCGCTGCGTTCGCTGGTGAACACAGGTTTTCAAAAATCGAGGGGTTGGTCTGCAAGCGTTTCCTTCCTTCCCCTCCTCCTCCCCCCTCTTTCATTTTTTGGCTCTTGCTTCATTTCTCGCGCGGTCAAAACCAAAAATCCCGTTCCTCAGTCTTTTTGCTCTGAAACTAAACGGAAACGCTTGCTATAAGTTGGTAAACATGTTACTCTTTAGAAACTTTCTGCAATAAAGCAAGTATTAAATTTTGAGTTTGGTGCATTTGCAGCTGTTGCAGATTGAACTGCTGTTGCTGCTGTAAGTGCTGCTGTTGGTGAAGCATTTGAGCTTCAGACTGCTCTTGTCGTTTCTGTTGTAAGGCTAATTCTTGCTGGCGAAGAGCTACTTCTTTTTTTTTTTACTTCTGCATCAGCTTCACATTTGGCTTCAAGGTACTGCAGAGCATTACCACCAGATCTTTTCCTCCTTTTAGGTTTCTCACTGGGACCCTCTTCTTCATCAGAATCAGTGATACCTTTAGATTTTCCCCATGTTTTTATTGCTGCATCTCTAACTGCCATAGCCTTTTTGCACTCATTCTTGTGCTGTTCACTTTCTTTCGCTGAAATTGACTACGATGGCTGTCGTACCCGTTTTTCACATACCCCTGAAATTGGGATTCTTGCCGATGTCAGCATTTTTGAGACCGGTTTGGGGCGGTTCAGACTGGTTATTTTTTGCTAATTAATTGGACAAAACGAAAAGTACGTTAAGAGAAATGATCTTAATATATTAATATATAGATTTAGCCAGGGCTAAAAGCAAAGCTCCCGGTTAATAAATTCATAATTTAAATCAAACAATAAACTTGTAATCCACAGATCAGGGCACATTATAATTCTGCAGTTTTTCACAATTTTGCAAGAGAATTTGCACTCATTCAATATCCATGACGATCAAAGCACGCGCTTCCTTTTGCACAACAAATTATAGCATTGAATTATAAAACGTTTTCTGTTAAAAAATCTGGTCCTATGTGATATGCGGGGTAATAATTATGGGCTTTTAATGAAAACGATTAAAAAATTCCCAAAATCACTTTTCGGCCAGCTGGACGAGTTCTCACTTTTGACAGGCACCAAATTTGCAGTGCGATTTACGCTTCAACATGAAAGAGAAATTGTTATGTTTAGGTTTTATTTCCCTTCAGATATTCATTAAACTGTGTATGATTTTGTTGTGTAATCTTGAAAAGCGAGTCATATTTACGCGCGGCGTTTTGAGTATGCCTACATGCCATGTTTATGACTGGAAACAACCGGCACAGCGATGAAAATTGCGAGAGGGACTACTAACAATCAATAAAATAAGTTTAATTCGGTGAAACATGTACAGAGACAATAATTTTCATTCACGAAGAGAAGTATTGAGAGGAAAGTGTCTCAGAAAATCATGAGTCAGGCAAGCATAAGCTTATTTATGTTTTAAGCTGGCTTCCCGGTGTTCGCTCTTTTTCAAGATAAACTCGAGGCAAGAAAATCGCTCAGAGCTTTCAGCCAAAATCATAACTACATAATCTTCGGAACCTTTTCTTTGAATTTGCAGGTCAAATAATGTCTAAAGGCTTTTTAAACCTGTTTCCTTTTGTAGGTTAGATCATTGCTCGTGTTTTAACTTAAGCCGCATAATATAAACCATACGCTCGACTTCAGGAAACCGAAAAAAAAAACGTCAAAAACAATAATGGCTCAAGCTTGCCAGTCGAGATGCTGCTTCTGAAGGTCATCAAGTGTTCCAGAATCGCTGGAGACTTTTCAATGTTCTTACGCCTCAAGCAAGGGCAAGTGAGTAAGCTCATTTTTGAAAACGATGCCATCCGAAATCGGATTTCCAATGACTTTGACAAGTGGTGCATTTGTCAACAAAAAGCGCAATAAACAAACCAGCCACGAATTACAGAACAATCTTGATAGCACCTGTATTTCATTTTGTACACCAAGTAGAAAAAGACAGTTTAAAACATCACAAGATGACACAAAACTCTCTCAGCTCCAGCTATCAGTAAGCAAGTTTCCAGACGCTGCAAAAATTTTCGGCATAAACTCACCTGTCAAATTTTGACCAATCAGAATATAAAAATTGGACATAGAGCGTGATCAACACGTGACAGTGAGAAAAGTCAAAAGCGATTGCCTTACCTGCATGTAAATGTAAAAGCCGGTTGAATTTTCGTGTCCGAGATCAGTTTGAAATCAACATTTTAAAAGTGCAGCTCATGAAACACGTCTTATTTCATATGCATTTTAAAAAATTGAACTTGAGCCTGCGATCATTTGAAAAGTAGCAACTTGTCAGCGAATACCTTCAAAATATTACTCGAACTCAGAGGGTCGATACCTGAGCCCGCGATACGGTCAGGCGATACTGGTCAGCAGAAACACTGTTTTGACAGCTGTCAATTAATCAAAACATGGATGTACAATATCAGGTTGCAGCCTCCCAAACTAGCTAGAAAGTGTGAGATTAAACATTGGTATGCCTGTGGTGCGGACGGACGGAGTGTCGGGTGGTCGGTGTACGGTCACGTGATTGCCGAATTTTCTAGGATGGATAGATTTTCTATAAAGCTATGGGGCTTTGAATTGAGCTCGTGATCAAATAAAACATCAGCGCAAAACTTTAAACACTACGTGACCTAAATAGATAGAAAAATGAGCCCGCAATCCACTCAGGTGATGATGGTCAGCGTATACTCTAGTTTGAGAGCTGTCAATTAACCTTCTTTAGAATGGCGAATATGCGAATTAACAGACTACGAGTGTGAGTAGGACATTTCCGTCCGGCATGTACTGGAAAATGCCAGATGGTGTACCTGGGCGAACCTGAGCCCTCGTTATTAGTCTTCTGATAGCGGTCTGCACATGTCCCATTTTGACAGCTGTCAATTGACCTTAATTTGGCCTGCCAATGTAACTTTAAACGACTGTCAGCCAACTGACAGCCTTGCCCGGCGTAGTTTCGTTTTTATGTTGAATTGGTAAGTGTGACATATTATATCGGCTTATATATAGGGGCAAAACGACTGGTCTTTTATCTGAGCCCGCGAGACGGTCATGTAATAATTGTCAGCGGATGTCTGATTTTGACAGCTGTCAATCTAATCGTACTCATACGGATGGCTTACATAACTAAGAGGCTAGTCAAGTTGTGCAAGATCTATTGTGACATTTGACATCGGCTTACATGAAGTGTGTGTACGGACGGGCGTACGCTACGTCATAACCAAATTTTCTGGGATGGATGGTTTACCAAATTTTCTTACCCATGGTGCTCCGCTTCGCGCGCGCGGGAGCTCCGCTATAATGAGTCGGAGTCAAAGTGAAAATAAAGTTATCCAATGTATATATATGAATAGAGAAGATCTATCAAAGATATCAAAGGATCAATTAATAAATATGCTAATGGGAAAACAAACTGCGAGCGTCCAATGGACAGGACCAGTTAATCAGACTGCGAGCGCCAATCAGGCAGGAGCAGTCTTAAATCCAAAATCGCTTACACAGTTGGCCGCCAAAAAAATGGAACAATCAATAAAGCGACCGGCCAAACAGCCAAGCAAAATGCCATCTCTTACACAATTAGCAGCATGAGCATTAGTTAAGGACCAAATCAAGTATTTTGAGGAACTGTCCGATAAACAAGCTCCTACTATTAGATTACATAAAATTTCTGTTTCTTTACAAAGCATGAGAAATGAGGAATTGAAGCGTGCTAGAGTATCAAAATATAAACAACAATCATCATTTCAAAATTTGTTTCACGATAGACTGCAACAGATACCTGGTAAACGAGAGCGGGCGCAAATTACAATAAACGCCGTTATTGAACATACAATTGGTAACAGAACCGAGTACACTGATAAGACGTATGGTCCGTTTAAAATGGAAGTTTCAAAATTGGACAAATCAGATATGTACAAGTTTTTAATGTATACTCTGCTCCAAAATAACTTCACAGTCTTATCGACAGAAACTATAGCTGAAATTGGAGCTACTATAACTACACACAAATGAGCAGTTCTTCGAAGATCATGTAGCCGGCGCTCTTAAATTAAACACATTCTTCTTAGACAAACAGTTTCAGATTAAACAACGAGGCGATAATACTTGTATGGTGGATTTTGTTTGGCATAACTGCAAGGGTAAGAAGGAATTCCAGAAATATACATATCAAAAATTATATGACGAGTTAGAAGTCTACGCCTCAGCTAGTTTTCCAAGGATGTCAACACAGGAGCTACTTGATTGGGCTAAAGCATGTCATCCAAATGTATCAATCCACGCGTATGATTCAACATGGAGGAAATTTATGAAACATTGCTAGCACAACAAAAGATGTGAGTTTCATATTCTATGTCAAAGACCACCATTTATATCCCATTCAAGATGATCGCCTCAAACAGATTGCTACAAAAGCTAACCAGGGTGGCGCCAATAATCTGTGGCATTATATGACAGACATGAAATGGTCTAACAAATCGAGTAATTACATTATGTATGAAGAATTGGAAAATAATGAGCTCACTGAAGAAGGCAAACCAACGCTATCGACAATCAAGAATCATGTAATTGTGTTACCACCTGACATGAAAATCGAGCCCGTTATTGAAGCATATATGATCAGGACTAATTATTTTGTGGAGTATTTACATTACGATAATAATGGCAGATTAGATGGTTTTATGGATCACAAAAATAACATGTAGATTCTTAATAACGAATATGAAACCCGTAAATTAATCTGTGAGCGGTTATACAAAATATACAAATCTTATGACTTCATATGGTGTAATCAATCATACACCTCACTGGCAACCTCATTATTCAAGCACATGAGAGGCTATTTGCCAGAATCACAATATGACACCAAAACACGGGAAGTCTTAGATGATTTCTATCCTCGAGCACTACAGTGGTGTTCAACTGACCCGGCACCCGATAATCTGGTGTCATTGGATATCTCAAAATGCTATCCTTCTATACTGATCGATAATGAATCGCCAATACCATTATACACAATTCACGATGTTATCAAGCCCTTTGATGGGGTATTTAGAATTGGTGAATACTATATCGACAAATATGTCATCAACAAACGACTAGGAAAAGGTATTAAAATTGAAGCCGGTTTTTATAGTAAACAATTAGTACAAGCATTAATCACAAAGTTTAAGATGCCCATATTCAGTGTCAAATGGTATATCCAAGCACGTAAAACATTAGCCCCAGACACATTCAAGAATTACATGTTAGCAATCTTTTCAATGTTTCCAGAATCCCAGGCCAAATTATTGGCAAACAGTTACATCGACGAACTGGGTAGGAAGCATAGCCGCAAAGACCATGGATTTACATGTGGTTCACTTGATACAGCACAATGCATCTGGACATCTGCTCTTGCTGAGAATCGTGATGTTGTTATAGACAGTTATCAGAATCCAAACACTAAACAAGAACTTTATCTAATCAGAGAGCATCAAATTGAGTGCATATTTTCTGACAATACATCAATCAACTGTTTTGTAATCTCTCAGTCTATATTAAAATGTCTGAACATGCTACACGACAATGCGAGTCACGATAATGATGGCAATGGAATCAGTCAAGTGTATGCAATCAATACTGATGGCGTATTTATGACTAATCCTAAAAACCAATACCCCAACAAAAAAGATGTCGAATTTA